AGGCGGTTCCTACATTCTGCGAAAAGATCGGATAGGAGGCGCCCATAGACACAGAATGAGGGCGCCATCACAGGGGGGCATGTGTATGAAAGCGACGGGGGTGAGCAGTCAAAAGGGGAAGATAAATATATGAATATCTAGACGATGTCGAACGAAGATTCAGAGCAAGGCAGAAAAAAGATGTCAAATGTTAAGGAGACGACACTGGCGATTGTGTAATCCTTGCGGCCATATTAAATTAAACGGTGGAGCGCACAAGCAACTGCAGCAATAGTGGTAGTAGTTGATGTGCTAATGGTCGTTGGTGTAACTTGGTGCCGCATGTTGGTGTACGATGGCGACGACCTCTAGTACACGATCTCGGTGGAAATTTGGAACCTGCGTGTGGCGGGGAAGGTTAGACGAAGGAGTCAGATAAAAAATGCATGCAACTTATTCATCATGTTAGTCATCTATATCCTAGACTGGATTATAGGAGCCAAGCGGAGGCGATGACAATAGAAAAGCAACGATATCTAGCTCAAGCACGTAGTTTAAATAGGGCGACAATGGTCAAATGCATTCATATAAAACACAAGATTCGACGGTGTCTGCTCACACCCGATGCTGTTATTTATTGCTTACGAATGCAAGGCAACAACCAAGTAAAGCAAAATTGTGCTGACTTCAAAGTTAAAAGAAGAAATGGTTTCCGTTTCTCTACGCGTCCAAAGGGAAAGGCGGTGGCCGGAGCTTCACGTTCCGCTAGTAAGTAACATAATCATGTCAGGGAAGGGCATCAAACAATAAACACTCTAACAGAATAACAACAATAACAATGTAGTCTCGACATCGTGTTTGTTAAAACCTAAAACTTTGAGCAGACACGAAAACTATGACAGCGGCCACCACAACAAATTATCGAGATAACAATTTTGTTCTGTTTAATAAAGTAATACGTTTACTTGATACAGAGGCATCTTAAGTGCTACTTACGATGTCTTTCCATTCACCCGTGAATATTCTCAGTTGTACGAAATATGTTTTAAGGCGACACGAGGACATAAAATAAAGATATGTTAAATCAAATTTTGATATTTAGCTAGCTTTTATTTCGCAGAGTATTTATAGTCTGTCGTGTGACAGCTGAAGCTAGTACTCTCAGAGCATGGCTGTTCAGTCATGTTGGGATGTTAAATAGTGCCCCGAGTATACATTACAGTGGTAACGAGTGACGAAATTCATTGATGACCAAAACGGGGTAGCCCGGTTGTTTGGATTAAGCGTTAGCTGACTAAGGAGCCTAACTTGACCGAGCTTTTTTGGGGGGGGGGGCGCGGGGGGGGTAAATCAGCTACCGGTCAACTGCACTTGTGGCCGCCTTTAGCTGCGAATAGTCTGCAGTAATTGCAGATTAATCAAACGTTGCGGCGAGCCTTCACCTGCAATCAAGGGAAAGTTGCTATGCTAGTCCCCCAGCTATTACGAAGTGTTGCGGTGCTTTTTGCGTGGGGTCGCCAGCATCATCTTGTGGATATTAACTTGGCAGCTCACTTTCGTGCGGCTTGGGAGTCCTTCGTCTTTAGGCCGAATCAAGACTCAAGCTGAAGGCAAGCTAAGAGTGACCCTCTCGCGCATGTCTAGAGTTCACTATTTTTAACGAGACTGTATTACAGTCTGCCTCAGATCACGCTGGGTTGCTTGTGACTAGCAGTAAATGTAATGCGGTCAAGATGCTAGGTAATACTTAATATCAGTCCCATTCGTAATTGCCTTTACTGAGATACGAATTTACTGAAGTTGCTTGCCAAAAGGCGTTGCAATAGCCCACGACTGTTTAATCTCTGCTTGGAGCTGCACAGAACTGCAGGCAATGGCCACAATGACATCACTAACAGCCTGAACCTGCCTGTTTATCGGTTCAGCAGTATGCGACCTATCTTATGGAGCTATACAGATGGCGGTAAGGTAGTACATCACTAAGTTATTTAGCAATGCAAGCCAATGACATGGGAACTTTACCTGAGGTTCTTGTATCCCGCTTCCTTAGTACTCGAGCAGACAGACGTATTGCAAGCAGGCTGATATAGTATTTAGAGGGTTTTCGGCTGACTGAAAGGCCATGTTGCGTAACATGGACGGCTGACAGGAATGGATTCACTAACTTGTTGGAGCGTGCGTAGACCTGTTTATATGTGTAGACATACTGATACAGTTACCGAAGAAACGTACGACTTCAATAGGAAGTCTGACATTTCGGCGTACTTTAGATATGTGAGTACTGCGCTGTGTGTGCGTCAGTCATAGGTGGTGGCTGCGTATGGCCGGTTCTCCAGAAAAGGAGGCAAATCGACTCCACCACTAAGGCAGTATTAGAATGCAGTGGGGATTTGGCCTCCGTTATGAGTGGAAGGTGGTGGTGGAAGCGATGAGGGTGGGTTTCACAGGGGATCGGAACCGCAGCTTGGACGAAAGCAACGTCGAGGTATGGTTCTCCGTTTTAGGTCGAAGTCCATTTATTTTAATGAAGCCGACCCATTGCCTGCTTCGTTTACCGGCTCGCACGGTCACGGAAGGGTGCTTATGGAGTTCAAGGCATAGTTTTGCAAAAGTGCGTACTTGGACGCGGGCAGCAACGGTTGGTTGTTATGGTCAAGGCCCCTTTTTTCATTTGGTGAGTAAAGAAATCGGTTTGCGTGCCGACACTCCCCAGAGGCACACGCACAAGCACAAGCACAGTCTTTTGTTATCCATCACGGATCGGTCGTATGTGACGTTATATTTATTTTTTGATAGAACCATGCTCTTATATACGGATGTACGCCCATGCTGAACGCAAATCGCACGCAAAATATAATATTATCGGAGGCTAGCTGAATTACGGACCTGGCAACTAATATACGACAAATGGAACACGAATTTCAGCTTCTTAGAGGAACGTTACCAGTATCGTCACACACATAATATCTGATTGCAAGCGGTGAATGCTTGGATATCTATTGTGCCGTAATAATAATTACTGAGTCTGTTCAAAGTTTCATGGCGCTTTTAGGTAGAAAGAAATTACGCGCGGATATAATACAGTCATGGTTGTTATGCTATACATGTCTCCGAACAGGAAACCGTCATCAACAGTGGACTTCTGAAAACTGGCATCTGCAGTCACGAAGGACCGGAGGCTAAACGGATCGAACAATTGTTCGTCATTATTGGCCCCGTGAATCCTATTGGTCTACATTGCCGATGTTGCATTGCGTGCTAGATGGAAGCCCCATCTGCTTCGTAGACTTAATATATAAGGAAAATTCAATACGTCCAAGTTGACTACTAACTATTAAAAACCCTCGCTGTTCTGTGTATGAGGTATTTAGCTGCTTATATCGTTGGCTTACATAGATGGCATTTTTGCCTAACTCGCCCGCTCTCTAGCCTTCTCGTTCAATCCCGAGAGTAACTTTATGAGTTTTGGCTTGGAGAACAGTTTGGAAAAATATGGGCCCGTACGACCCCCTGCACTTTACTATTGACGAAGTCCGTTCGTCATTGGATCGCTAACAGTCACCACTTATCTAGCCTCAACAGAGTGGATTGCTATTAAACGTTACGTTGGAGGGTCTGCGGACAAGAGGACAACCAGCAGCCGTACTAGCCAACTTGAACGCGCTTCGATATAAGTCGCGATCCGGAGCCATTATGGCCATCAGGCGAAAGCAAACTGGAGACAGCAATTTTGGTCGCAGGTAAAAGCGCTTCTATTTGGAAGTGTAATTGGGGCAGATTCGCCGTATATTACTAAACTCCTGTGTGTAGCAAACTTTGTGAGTATGTGAAAACGTTTGTCCTGTCTATGAATCTTCTGAGCCTCAGGACGTGCGGAACTTCTGCATTTCTATATACTCGCTTTTGAAAGCTCGTACTGGTGTGCGTTGTTCAACACAGATTTCGCAAAATATTGTCAGTTATTGCCGAGCTTTTATTCATATGAGTTCTATATAAATAGTTTGTTGGTTTCGCCGGCCTTTAGCATCCACTCCACCCACAGGTGGACGGCCCGAAGCCTTTTAGCGCAAATTGCACCTTAGTATCACTTCAGACAGGTTCAATCGCAGCTCGACTCATGTCGGCGCCAACGATCGACAAACGCAACGAAGTATGATTTCCTACTTGTAAACCTATATGATGGGCCTACCTTATTATAGTACTGTAAATTAGATACGGCCTGAACAGGATTATCACACGAAACAAATATTACAGTTCAGTGGAATATGTTGTGTTTACCTGGTCAATGCCTCCACTTTCGCTCTGAACGGTACCCGTTCGAAGCAGGGACAAGCGCTTTCTTTCTGATCGACTAATTCGTTCGTATTTTCAATAATAGTACTAAATAACATAGTGTATGGCTTCTTATGACTGAAAACGCTGCTTATACAGTAGGGGCCGCGGGCTAGAGTCTAGCGTAGTGAACAGAAGAGACCGACATTAAAAGATCAGTGCTTTGCACGCACAACTTGCAGTGCAACGCATCATACTAACAGGCATCGATATGAATATGTGTGCCCAGCGGGATCTCAGTAAAAGTTTAATATTCACGAATTGACGGCAAGCTACACATGCTAATCCTATGTACGTTGTGCCTTTCATTGCCCCCGTCTAATAGCGAATCCAGCCAGCTATCCGTTGTTGTTAGGTCGCTGAAAGGCTAGTGAGAACCTCGGCGCCATCCCGTCTTGGCGGCGTATCCACTGCATGGTCCTGTGTACGCTGACTCTTCCCATCATCACCGCCATCATTCTGTGTCCGTGGGAGTTGGTCACACGCTCCCCGATATATTCATGCACATCTGTGACATTAAATTATAATCGAATTATACTTGCTCGGGCAGATGGCGAAAATCTACAAACAATGTGTATATATAATTCAAATATTATTAGTAGTACGTGAGTATGCGTGTGCGTATATATATTTATTGTATGTCGACATCAATATGTCTAATTAAATTTTCTTTTTCCTTTTTATCTCAGGACCCGACGATAGGCAATCATATTTAAAATGGCGGACGGTCCGCGACGGCACGGTTTCCCGGTCTGCCGGGAACCTCACCTCAACACGCTATCGAGCGTGTGGTACTGCACAGCCGGACTCGCGCTGTCCATCTACGTAATAGCGGGCAGTGTGCAGCGCTTTACTAGATACATGTCTCTGCCCTGGCCTTCGAGGGACCAACCGTATATAGAGCTCAATGCATACGTCGCTTGTATAGGAGCTGGTAAGTCATGGTGTTACCATCATTACTAAATTAAGTAATTGATCTATACGTTATTTAAGACGTGCACGCAGCGAGTTTTATGACTGATATAGTCTGCTTAGGCAGAAGCATTATTTCTTGTTCTATTTGATAACTTAACCTATTCGATTTCAGGAGTCGTTCTCTTGCCATTTTTTGTGGCATCAGCGGTCCTTCAAGTGGGAAACATGTCGAATGATGCGGCAACTGTTGGTGGAGAAGTCGATGAGGCCACACCTGCACCCGACCCGTCAGCACTCTATGAGAACCTACCGCGACGCGCGCGTCGTAAACCAGGAATGTGTGGAGGCGCTTTAAAGCGCTGGCTGAAGGCTGCTTGGCGTCATGGCGGCCCTACTGCACCAACGTTACACCTTTGGTCGGCTTTTTGCCTGCTTGTGCCTAAAGCAATTATGCATGCTCGTCTTATCCGACACGGTTTCCTCAAGCGGAGCGACGTGTGGCACACGGACATGGACTTTTTGATCCCGCACCGCGAACGTCTCGTTCCCATACACTTTCTACCCACAGTAAACGAGACAGAACTCTGGGAGCGTGACACACAGGAGCCGTCGAGGCCAGCTATTAACCATCTTGATGTAACTGGCCATATTTCAGCTGAGTTTATCAACTATGCTCTAGCACTATTCATCTACTCTCTGCGTTATCCTGCCGTATTCTGGAAGCGAAACAAGTGTTTTTCACTGTTCTTTTCTCTCTATCTGGTTTTTACGATGGTTTGCCTCAAGTTACTCGTCTTCACTTCGGTTGGAATACTGCATGGTGTACACATCGTGGGCCAGCGAGACCTCTTGCACCGCTTCGCACCGTTTATACTCAATGTGCCTTCAACGCTTGGCCTTTACTTCATCTATACGGTCCTCGTCACGGTTTCAGGTTCTCTCGTCTACTCGTATGGGTTACTTAAATACTCCGAGTGGAAGTCGAGAACGGCGCTTAAGCACCACATCACATGGCAGGGCGCTCAGGCAGGCGGGATTACGTTTTATGGTCATGGGCCGCACATCTACTCTCTCTTAGTTCTGGTGTCGATGGTTCTCGTCGGAGCTCCCATTGTCCATGATCTTGTCAAAATCTATCAAGCTAGCCTAGATGGCGTAGTTCTCGTCACGATTTGCGGAATTGTTGGACATATCGCCATATGGATTCTGATGTGGCTCCTGTTCACTGTGAAACACGAGTGGGATTTCTGTGCTGAGAACGGCCCGCTCTCCGAGCACCCGATGAACTTTTCGACATCAGCACGTGCAACGGGTCAAAATCAGTATAGTTACACGCCCTTGCTGAAAATTGCTGACGGGCCTGATCATCCGTTGCTGGTTGTTGACAACGGGCAAACGTATCGAGTCAGTGAGATATCCTCGAAGAAAGCTATTCTCGGACTGGCTTCACGTCAACAGCAGGTCCAAAAACTACCTCATCCTTCCGAGGATGAAGATATCTACTGGCTGAAACCAAGGTAAGCTTCCATGAGGATCATAGTCAATGGTAGTATCGAACATCATGTTTAAAATTGACTTTAGGTATTTTCTCGAATCAAACGATCGAGTTAAAGTCGTTGATCGAGTAGTTACATCATATAAGCTTAAGTTTTTGCTCAGTTGCAATTTTGACGACAGTTTGGCCATTCCATTACGGTAAAACACCCAGTTTCTTCAACGTCCTTAAATGTCGGGCCATTCACAGCTGTTCCTCTTTAGTCCACACCATTAACTCCAGTATGTATTTAAATCCAAATTACGTTTTTCCTTGAAAGACTTTACCAACACGCACTAGTTAGTTAACTCCAAATATTAGAATCGAAGGCAGCGGCAAACAATACGGGATGCTAGAAGCACTCTGGTTTGTCCTAGAAGGATATTTCCAAAGAGAATATGTGTTACGTAAATATTCGAGCTGTTTACGGAAATAACTGCGAAATTTTCTTTATTTGAAGGAAATCAATGATAGTTAAGATTAGGTTTTACTTTCACAGCCCCATATAACACATAAGCATTAATGCGGCTGTTTTTTTTTCGTTCGTATTATAGGATGCCAATCAAAGAGGGCGACCAGCCTAACAGCCTCTCATGGCTTCGTTCGCAAAAGCCTAAAAACTATCAGGGCCAGCCATTGATTAATGGTCAGGCTCCGACCGGGCCTCAGGGTCCACCTGCCAGTGGACCACCGTCGAAACCTAAAGTGACGTTTGATACTTCGAATAGTCCAAGTAAAACTCGCAGCGCTGGAAAAAGCCCAAAGAAACTCAAGAAGCCGCCGGCTAAATTGCCGGAAGAGCTAAATCATGGCAATGAGATGAGCCCACTGAAAAACTCATCATCACTTCGCCGAGAAACAAGCAGCCAATTTTACAAGGTAGGAAAACAAATCTGGAGTTATGTTTTTAGAATTTTTTTGTTTTTTATAAAAGTTGCCAAGCAACTTTTTGTGTATTTTTGACAAAATTTAGCTTTTATTGCGCTCGATGTGTTTGCATTGTTTGTTTATCGCACTGAAGTTTCTCGCGCAGTTAAAATGTAATAATCTTTATATTTTCATTGAATATCTATTTTTTTGTTAGCCTATTCAGTTTTTTGTTTTCTTTTGTCGATGCTTACACGTATCGGTGCTCACCAGTTCTTGCTATACTCGCACTTTATAATTTATTAACAAGCGTATTCCGTCCTTCTATTCGTTGCTGTTCGGCGATCCTCTGCTTGTTGTATTTGTTGCGTGTTTATGTCCCGTGCCATTGAAACGATGGGTTTGTCCGACGTGGCTCTGCTACGTACGAAACCTGCAGTCACTATGTCCTCTGTCCGACGAGAATGAAGCTAATGGCGTTCTTCTTGCGCAGAACGGTGAATTTGATCCGTTGACGATCGACACACAAAATCCTCAGTTGCGGGGTATATTGACCCAGCAAAATGGCGGTACCCTGAGCCCCGCAACACTCACACCACGGTGAGTTGTAAACACTTATCTGTATGGATATTGTGCAAGTTGTAACATATTGGTAGGGTAAAACTGACTGATACACGTTCATTGTAGCTGACAATGCGATTTCTTTTCAATATTACTGCAGGTCAGATTGTGTTAGCGATACATCAACGAGTCCAGAGAAGGGAGGAAGTTCAAATGACTCAAATAGCTCAGGCGTGCATTCCGCGTGCAGCGATCAGCTCAAGAGGACGAATTCTCTTGAACAGTTACTTGTTGAAGTCCAAAACCAGATTCCGCTGCCGCCTACGGCGACGATACATCAGCGTTCGGGATCCGTGCAGCACAACTGGAAGAGCATGTCCCTCCAGCGCACGACGATGGGTGGAGTCAACGGGATAACTCACAATGGGTACGGGGACGGTACAAACAGTCTTGTTATCCGGAGGAACGCGTCGAACGTGTGCGATATGCAAGCCAGACGACCGCCTATGCGGTTAACGTCGTTCACCGAACAGCCGGACTTCACCGTTGGACCTACGCGGATCTTGCCACCAACGGTCCCTTCGCTCCCATCAATGCCCAACTTCTCCAAACCGCCTGCGATGCCACCCCTTCCCCAAAGCGGATTGCAGCTCTCGGATAACTCCGACTGGAATCAGCGAGCCCCAGCAGCCGCACAACAGTAAATATATCAATATAAACAGCAAACTAGAAAAACCAACGGCTCACATGGAATAGTCGTCTTCGGTGTACGTCGAAACTAAGTTAACAGATAGGAAACTAAAAATATGGAGAAATAAAGACGAGTCAGAGCCGAAGGGAGTTTGAACTATGGCTGTGTCTCTGTAAGTATTCTACACTTAGCGCAAATAGCGACGTGATTTAACCTAGGCTATCTTCAAGTTGAATCCTGTGTGAAGAAAACATTCAAAAATGGAAAGAGATAACGCGGAAGAGGGAAAAGGTGCGTAAAAGAAAGGAATAACTTATTAAAGGAACGCGCCGTTGTCCAGGGCCGCTGGTTGCTTGAAGGCCTTTGCGAATCGTCAAGTAACTTTTTAAACTCTTCAAAGTGAATCAGCGACCAAACCGGCAAGACTAATAGTGCACACACGTATGCCTATTTAAGTTTGCTGTACCATATATACATATATATATATATATATATATATATATATATATATATATATATATATATATATATATATTGAGAAAGAAGCAAAGATACTTAGGAACAAGCCTGAGAAGGTACTTCGGTACCGGAGCAGAGTCTACTCGTGCTACGCGTGTGAGCGTGTTTTAAAGGTTAAACACAGCAGGTGAATGAGGTGAATATGCTACGGTCTCGTACGCCTTTGTTATTCGCTGTACGAAACGTGCTCCTTGTTCTACATGTTCTACCATACTACCATCTCGGCTGGCGTTACCCCGCCATGATCAGCGTCAGTCGTCGATCCGGAATCGAAATACTCAGTATCTATACCGCTGTGTCCGTGTATGTGTGTTTGTCCCAGATCGGACGAATGGCCACTGAGCTGTGCCATAGGCTCATCGCGAGTCCTGGAGGTAGAGGTAACTCCGCTGTTTGCCCGGTCCTCCTCTCACATGCTTGCACAAAATTGTAAAGTTTCCCTAACAGTGAAAAATAAATGTAAGATGACCAAGTCTGTATCCTCTGCACATTTACATTGACTTGTCCGATCATGCAATCTGAGAAAGCCCATCAGTGACCAGAGTGAGTTCGTCGATTGATGCCGATCAACTTAACAGAATTTTGCATTGTGCTGCTAACAAATTACCCGTAGCAGGAAATCATAGCGATTTTTATAATAGGGAAGGTTAATTTAAAAAAAAATGGCAGCAAATAGAAAAAACAATAATTATATCTAGACTTGACATCGGTAACGATCTTATGTCCCTGAAGCTTAACGACGCACTGCCTGTTACTTCATTGTTTTTGAGGTTGGGGCAGCTCCATTTCTGTAAAGATTCACGCGAGAAACATTATACTATTGATAGGAAAGCACAAACATGAGAGTGTTCCGTCAGAGGTGATCGACCGACTTGATTAGTCATCTCAGCCCGAGCTGGACACTTCGCAATATCTTATTAACGATGCCATATATTTATGTGAGTACTAATTATGAATGTTATTTTTAATAAATTTTTGATAATATTTCTGTTTTCATATAATTAACAATCATATCGGATTAATCGGTTCTATACTATCGATGACGATAATAATCTAGAGAAAAAAAAACATGCTATATTTGTGTAAGTCACTTAATATTTGCTAAACAAAGGTAAAAAATGGAGGTTACCGACCATTAAGGGCGGTTCAAACGAAAGGCAGCAAATAAATATTCACGTGTAAGAGTCGTATTCGATTAGGCGAGTAAAGGGAAAACTAATAATATATAAGAGACCGACGGTGTTTTCTTTTGAAGGAAAAGCGGCTAAATTATGGAGCCGAGGCAATGATCTTGCATTTTTGTAGGATTATGCGGCTGGTGGTGGAGCCATCGTAGATAAGTTGTCGAAGGCCAATGCCATCAGGACCTGAAAGAAGGATGTAACTGATCAACAAGTTCAAACAAACCATACTATACAAAGAACAGAACGAAAAAAATCGGCGCTCCCACACCTTCTGATATAGTGGTATTTTTTATAAAACTATTTTTTACTCTTATTTTTATTGTTCACTCTGTTTTTCTCTGTAAGTTGACTTTCTGTTAATGACACATTAAGCAACTCCAATAGTATTAACGCTCTAATCTGAGGAGGAAAATAGTTATGTACATGTATATACGGTATATTTACAGCTAATGCCATTCTATCTGAGCGTTCGTTGATCGAGACGTTCTCCCCCCTCAGCATGAGCAGAAATGGCGTCAAAACTCTATACAACAACAGCATGTATGTACATGGCGTATACGAACAAGACTGAAAATCTATCAGTACACCCGAATATCTCTACATGCACATAGGGTAAAGCGTGTGTATTGATATGTTAACGTCTCCCTTTGTAAATACAATTCTCTAACCGTCGGCGACAACACTGAGTGTGTCCGTTAACACATTTGCATTTTTTGGCAAAGCAATAACTGTCAAAATGCAAGAAACTAAAACTAATCCCAGGTTAAATTCGACAGACAGAAATAGGAACTAAAAGTGAGCAGAGTTTGTATGTGATGAGATAAAAGTGAAGTAACTAAGAACGGCTGTCGTACGATCGACGGCTGTAGTCAACGGTCAACAATGCTACATGCGGATGTGGGACGATGGTAGCCGTTAAAGGGAAGCGGCGGATAAAGGACGCGCACCATGGCGATATGAATCCTTTAAGTGTCTTGGGTTCGGAAAGCAACGTGAACGCTTAGGCACATCCCAAAGCAATTAGAATGTACACTATTATATAATATATATATATATATATATATATATATATATATATATATAGACAGTCTAAAGCGACTACAAGAGAGAACCACGTCTTTATGGGCTATTCTGCTACTGCTGTAATCTTAACGCAACAGTATTTATGAGAATGATAACAGCAGCGATGACTGATAGTAAGTACATACTAACGAATGAAATGTATAAATCAAGATAAGATAATTGAAGGAAAACATCTCAGATGGGCGAACATACGACAATTTTCCAAATACTGGTTGTTTTCAACTACGATATGTCAAGTAAACAAATCATCAATTTAAGCGTACTTGAGAGATCATCACGCCCAGTACAGAATTGCGTGAATTTCGGGTTGCCCAGTTGTTAACCGACCGTATTGTGGGGTTGTCGGTCTCTCTCAGGAGGCGAACGTGAAATGGGGAAAAAAAAATGGGCTGATGTATCGTATGCCGAAAAATAAGCGTCTGCCATAAGCTAGTTCTCAAATGCGTGGTTCACTTTTGTCCATCAGCAAACCTGTGCTTAGCGTAAAATCTGTTACAGGCAACACAATACAATATGGCATTAGGTAAACGATACATTTGGTTTCCATTGTGTTATTTACGATGCTGTGGAGAAAGTACTGCCTAGGTATTACGAGAAAGACAATAAGGTGAAATTTCCCGCTGTATAGTATACAATGCGCCCGCGTGAACATGTGTACACGAATGAAAAATGCCGCAAAGGCAGCAAATACTATGATTGAAATTATTACATGAAGGCGATGATTATTAAATAATAATAATAATAAATTAATTTAATGCTCTATTATTTGTACTGTCCCCGAAAAATTAAAGTGTTTATTATTAGATAAGGGAGATGAGGTTTTGTCGGCAACCGTTCCTTTTGAATTGACCTGGAAGAACTTGGGAAAATACGACAAAACGGTCAGTGTCGATCTATATGTTCTCTATACAAGAGCCACACAAGACTTTCCTGCTTGTCAAATTTACTCGAGCTAATTTGCTTGTTCTATGTTCATTTACTTTTATATCCAATCGATCCATTTCAAGGGAAGGTCTAGGAAAAACCACTTAGTCCCATGAGAACTCAACTTCAATTTTGTTCATGCACCCGACTCGAGCAAGACACGATAAGTGCTTTTTTCATCCGAGCGACTAAGACCGTAGCTGCCGCCGTCACTATTTTCAGTTGGTGGGGTGGTGGCCTAGATCGATACACCCCTGTAATCAACTGTCACCTCCTCATTTCATCCCAACCATAGTTCCACAGTTCTACTTCCGTGCTTTGCCTCGTCCGACAGATTTACGTGGCGAGGCCAACCAGGACGAACTTGCACCTGTCTCCCGAGAAGTACATCATCGCCGGTCTCTCGTTATTGAGGGCTAAAGCCACATCCCAATTGTCAACTCGCTCCCGCCAGTCCAGTCCAAGTCTGTGCTAACATCTTTCTTTGCGCTCCTTCTAGCACTTTTTCCCTTAACCCTCACTGCACCATTTTGGGTCTGATTGTGCCGCCGTCCAAAGATCGTTACGCAAATCGCGACGCACCGAGTGCCGAAGCTTCTGTTCTACATCTCTTTCTAGTGAGCCCACCTATGCTACTACTTGATCTCGTGTATTTCTCCTGCTCAGTCCTGGCTTTTGTCCCCATATTTTGCCCCTTGCGCTAACAGCGCTACCACCCGTTCGTTTGATTGCGGTTGGTCCGAATCAGTAGCACTGGAGCCCACCTCCACTCAGCCTCCCATTTTAGTGGCGCGTTTCCAGTCTTTAACGCAGTTCATGTCACTCCGCTCTTTTGAAAAAGTTTGGAGCACACAGATAAGAGAGGCACTTAGGTGCACCCGTGACATATATAGCTCCTGAATTGCTCCTGAATTTCACAGTTGTCGATTGCTCGACACTGTGCTTTTAAGCTTTCCTTTACGGGTCCTCCTATTCTTAGCTTAATGACGGTAAGTGTCGGTAACTGCATTTGCTACATTTATAGATCGTACTATACGTCAGTATATATATTCGAATTATTGACCCTGCCGCACAAGTACCAAAGAAAGGCCCCTAGCCTGCGGCAATGCGGCGTTACCATTTCAACGCTTGCTAGCGTCACCTGCCACCGCCATGTTGCAACCGCCGCCTGCGGGGACTGCTTTGTTGCTGTTCAGGTTCTTCGGACTGCTTTCGCTTTACGGTGGTAATCGTTTATCCGAAACTTAATCAAACTCCTTTGGTCCTTGGTTCTCCTTCCTGTTCCTATTTCCAGTAGCTCCCAAGTCCTTCACCGAAGCCCCCAAGGCAGCGTTCATTTTTCGTCTCCTAGCCGCCGTACTGAATACGCACTCTCAACAAGCTCGTATCTGCACTTGTGTTCAAGAAGGAGAACGTACAAGACTAGGAAAAAGCCAAGCGGACAGAACTAAAGGCATCGCTACCCCCGAGCTTTTGCGGAATACCCACTTGCAAACGATCCGTCGGCCAGTCGACTCGCTGGATAATTTGAAGCCCGTCGCCGCGACCGTCGTTCGCTTGCAGAAGATGCGAGACCCGATGTCGACGGTTTGAAGTATTATACACAAGAGAAACAACGAAAGAGAGAGTGTGTATGGGAGAGAGAGAGAGAGAGAGAGAGAAAGGACAGGAAGCTGAAGAGAAAGTGGGCACAGGAAAACTGTTTCAACCAGAACTGCCGTACGCACAGCAGCGTTCAGAGCCCTAGTTGAGTTTGACGGAGATTGGGTCGCTCACCTCGTAGATTGCCACTGCTTCTGTCATTACTGCTACCGCCATTATTGCTCAGTCACTACACAAAATAAATCCGTAGGTGTCAGATAAACGCAGCCGAGAAGGACGGAAAGAAAACGACGAAAACGAGGCCGTTTGTTCACTTGATGCACAGCTCTTCCCTTGTCTTCGTTTGGGTCCGTTATGCTCGAGTGTTGGTTACATACATACATTTACAAGAGGAATAGTGTAAGCATATAAATAAAAAGGCTGAAGAAGATGATTGCCCTCCCTGAACCCCGGCAGAAGAGAGCTGCTGCTAGTGATAATATCGTTAGTGATTATATTGTTGGCAAGGGCGAGGGGGGTAGAACGCAAACTCGAAACCATGAGAAGTATGCTGGAGGCACTTTTGGTAGGCAAATAAAAAAGCCGTGAGGCATAAGCCTTATATGTATAGAGCTTTAGCGTAACTACAAACGCTTGTCACCGTTAGCTCAAACCCTTAATTATTATTACACGCTCCCTTTTTCCCAGCGTAAAGTGCCGTTTAGAAATATCGTATGAGGGTAATCAGCAGTAACCTGTCGCAAATACAGCGGCCTGACAAGTATATGTGTATATATATATATATATTTCAAACGTGACGATTTGCATACGCGGTGAACGACCGAAAGAGTTCTTGGAAACGACTTGAAAGGATTACTTACCTTACGCCGCTCTTTTACGGATCGCTAAACTGTTTTCCAAAATGGGGAAGCTTATGTTACTACTGTATGTTTAATTTCTTTTATCGTGCAAACACGATGTTTGTTACATGCGTTTATTAGTTAGAGGTGTAATACTCGAAGATGGCCTATCAGGTTCAGATCATGGAAATAATCCACCAGAACACAGTGCCGTAACTCATTTACACCTTTACGTTTGACCCATTTCCTTGCTTTGGTCCAAGGGTTCATCATAAATTCCTTTACGTTCTAATCCCTTAGTGCTTCTCCGCAAAATTAACATAACTAATACTAGTGTAGGTTGGACGTATTTCTGGGTCATATAGCATATTTGGCGCATTCTGCATCTCTAATCCCTTTTCCAGCATAAACAAACATACGTTGCCTCCCCTCCGCGAGACAATGAGAGTCCACCACCGCCAATTACTGTATTCCTCTGTTCAGCTGCGGCGCATAGTACTCAATTTATACCCATAGCAGTTCCTTCCCCTTCGTCTAATCCTATTTGGCTCCCTCTGCTAGCTTTCGCTCTTACGTCGCTTGTTGCAGCTGTAGTCAGGACTGGACTACGTGTATGGATTTTCACTCTGTGTACGTGGACGGCTCTCTAAAGCCCGGGTTGGCTAGCTGTCTGTCTGTCTGTCCTTCGCCTTCTTGTAGTTTCGATCGACCGCACCTCCAGCCTGCCTCAAGCAACTGCCTTGCACATCTTTTCAGTAGAACAACTACTGCTACAACCAAAAGTAGTACTAGGTTTTCCTTCCGTCATTTACTCATTGCCTCAAGCCGTATTCACTCAGGTTTCCATTCCGACACAAACCCGGCGAAGTCTCCGTCCTTGCTCTGAGCTCCTCGCTTCAACTCTGAGTGTATAGAATCCAATATCTGAAAAGAGCCCGGGCATGGTATGAGCAAAGATCCAAATTGGAGGGAAATAGAGCCGCCTCCAGCGGGATCTTTTCATCCCTTTGATTTTCCTCTAGCTTTGCCGAGGCCAAGCTGGTCCAGGGCAGTTTCGTCTTGGAACTCGCGTCTATTTGCCGCCTTGGTATTCGTATCAAAATCGGCAACGCTGTTTGCTCCCGCTATCCGAAATACAGGTCCGCCGACGGATCTGGGTGCTCGGATTTGGATTTGAACACAGAAGAGCATAGGGAATGATTGTATCTTGAGTTTAGTGAAGAATTTCAAAATGGCATGATCGATTGAAGAAAGACGATTCGAGTCGTTTATACCATAAAGCTTCCCTTGATTAACTTGCTCTACGACACAAACTTGTGGAAGCAGTAATTGTTAGTGTACTACAAGGCCATACTATGGCACCGATGGAATCCTGCGACGGGGAACAGATAAATCAATATGACATAAATAAAGTAGATATTGTGTGTGCACAGAAAAGAACATACCATATACATATGGACATAATCATAAGAACAAAAAGCATAAACGGAATTTTCTAGATATCTACTGCTGTTTCAGAAAAAGGATACCGAAAGAGGATTTTAAATAGGATTACTAAATACCTATATACATATCCTTGAATATTTTTAAATACAGATATCATTCGGTGTTAATGTATGATATAAAGTCAATGTATGATATACGTGTGAAATCATGGCTCTGCTCACCCGCGTTACGCAAATAAAGCAATCTATTTTGTAATTAGTATCGTATAATGGTCTCATAAACAAAAACATGAATAAAACCATTTTGAGGCAAGACCAAAAATATTCTATTCTAAGATTGGGCTTATCTCACCCTTCGAAAATAACAAAAGTAACCATTTATGCGTGCAAATACTGTCTGGCCCTGATTGGATGGGTACGTCGATATGCAACAAGCGCTGGAATTGTAGCGCTTCCCACTTCAAACGAGCGCCATAAAATCAACTACTAGTATCTGTATACACAAATCTAGAAATGTCGAGAGATTTAAATGAAGATAGAGTAGAAATGGCGTCAAATTTGTGGCCGAGCGCGTGAGTCCATCATGTTGCCCACGCCCAAGTGATGATGTTTCGCGATGTACAACGAAATGTCCAAACCAAACCCACGGCCAATAAGCAGAGCAGCAGTGGCGGGAGGCCGGGGGGGTGGCAGCATTCTGCACGCCTGGCTCATTTCTTTGCCTCACTCACGCGTTCTTTACCTCTTTGCGAACTTCGATAAAAAATCACCCCACGCACTACCACCCAGCATCACTAGTGCCACAATAGAACCGGACCCCTTTACACCACTAGTGCACCAGTAACCCACTAGTATGTATCGCCACCGTTTACAGCGTAGAGGCCGGTAGAACTTTAGTAAAGCGGCAGAATGCATGCGAAGACTTACCTACAGCAGCGCACATATGGTCGGTCAATGGTTGCAT